TGAAAGCCTCTTTTGATTGTAAATTTGAACAATATGTCTGCCTCCTCATAAGTGTGCTGACTTCGGTTAGATATTGTGAAGTTGTTTTTGTTAACCATCGAAATAATTCTGCCCTCATGCACTTTAGCTACTTCAACGTCTTCTGTGGTCTTTCAGACATTTTTACTTAGCTGGTCAGTGTATTTGTTCTTTTTAACAGTGCAACAGATTATTGATTTGGGGCTACTACTGATGTTTCTGCTGTGTATGTGATAGCTTTATTTTGATTTTTCAGCCAAATGAAAACCTCTTTCAGTTGAACTGCCCTTTATTTTGGTCTCGTATTTAGTTACCTATAAATGGAAATTAATCTCTTCATCTATACGCTTCATTTGTTGTGAAGTAAAAAGTAAAAGTCCTCAGCCGCCATGAAACTGATTGACAGCCTCAATATAGAAGCTCGATAATTCTGGAGCCTCTGAAAATTGAGGGGAGGACTAACATGTGTAAATTCCTGTAATTCCTAAACAGTTTATCCAAAACTTTTGCTAAAGCCCTTGAATTAAAGGGTGAAAGTAGTGTATTTGTATGTGTGGAAGTATATACTCTAATCGGAAAAAGCATCTGGACTGATGAATTTCTTAAAACTCAAACTCAAAGTAATCCAAACACTTTTTTGCCCAGATCCTTAGACTACAATGACCTGGATGACTGAGAAACTTCACAGATATAGGCTCTAATACTATAAAGCATTACTTTATAATAGTATTATAACACTATAATGGCATTGAGTGTGGTTAACAAGTTTCAGCATAATAGTTTGACACACCTTGGCTTGAATGGTGAAGTCACTGTGTAGTGCAATTTTTAATCAAGCCACTAGGTGGCACGTGGCGCTCCAGATCCCACAGTGTCACTGCACGTGCTGCCGTGCGTGGGGGGGAAAGCCAAAGCCGCGCCGTTAAAGGTGGTTGTTTTGGTTGTGATTCTCCAGAGCCCGCCCCCTGCTTTCTGATAGGCGCTGCGGTATGATTGGCGTGCGCGCGCTCAATTGTCACCGCGTCAACATGCTGAGGGGGCGTGGTAATTATAACTGATTGTGTTCGGACACATGCAGCCGTCCCCGTGACGTTGAAAAGTTGATGCAAAGCGCACGTAGTCGCTTCGTCGGAGTAAATAAGAGTTGTGTTTTCGAGCAGAGCGGGCAGTTTCACAAGTTGTCCAACATGACGGCGGCTAACCAAATGTTTTTCGAGGACAGGAGCGAAGTGCCGGACCTGCTCAGGTACTTGGCCGACTGTCCCTTCCCGGCCTTTGATGACAGTGGTAAGCATGTTTTAAAATAACTTTAACTGTTTTTGCATCTTTTTATGAGAGCTGCTTTTGCTAGCGTGCAGTCTGTAGTTGGCAGACTTATTTAAGTAGCATATGGTGGTGTGTAGTTACATTCATGGAAACGCTAAATACGTTTTTACTATATTTCATTACTTTGTGTGACTTTCCCACATAAAAATTTGACATAGAGGCCTATGAATATTAAGGATTAAACTATGGCACTGGTTGTAAAATGAGTATAATTAATTAGTTACATTATTTTTAAGGTTTATGATTTAATATTGTCCTGTGACAATTGCTATGTTGCCATTTTATTACAGTCTGAGATAAAAGTAATGCAGCAGCCCTGCAATTCTTCATGGTATCTTCATCTTATTTATCTTGCTTTCAGTGATACACATGAAGTGGTTTTATACATAAAGCTAATGAAGTGACTTCTGTTATTTTGACTATTAAAACTGACTAGTGCTTTCATTACATCTCAGCATTGAACTAAGTACTTAATCCAGCTCTAGTGTAAAGTTATTTTACTAGCAGACACTTTAAACCCTTCTGTATGGGAAACTGTAGAAGTCAAACCACCCGTAAACATAATTAAATGTCTCCTGTTCAGTTCATTATTTTACTGAGTGCAGTAGTATGTGGTAATCAGAATATCACTCTAATCTCTTGAAGTGTGCACAGGTGATGAAAGGCTGTGAGGTGTATTGTATCAGCAGACTGTCTATGCTGTTTCTCCGTGTAGCCTGAAACTGATGCAACAACACTGAAACAGTCCTCACTCAGAATTTCATCATTTCATTAGCTTCTTTATGCACTCTGCTTATGTTATGCACACTTTCTAGCTTACTTTCTGTTAAAAATAAATAAATTCTTTGGTTTATTTTTCATTAGAAGTTGCTAGTGCAATGACATAGGAAATGTGAGAGGGAGTGACATGCAGGGCATGCAAGAAAGACTGCCAGCTGAAACTGAACTAAATGTGTTGGGGTTGTGTTACTTCACCTGTGCTCTGATGTCTCCTTGAGCGTTTTATGGCACTTATGTGGGTACGAGCACCTAATTGCTCCAGTATCACCAAAGTTGGTCACAGTGAGGTTTCGAATATACCTTGACCTGTTAAAAAAAACAAGTAGATAAATAAATCTTAGTATGCAGTCCCCATCTTCTCACAACTAATGAGAGAGTTTGTTCATCTCTATAGACAACCAGACAGCTAGCTCAAAGGCACAGTGTCAGATTTGGGTCAAACAACTTGCAGTAAAGCTGTGGCTAATGATGCATAGGAAATAAAACCACCCTGGAGCTTCATTTCCTTCATAAAGACCAGTCTGTATCATTCATCCCCTGAAATCAGACATGTGCTGTATTAGCAGATTTACAGCGAATATTTAGCTGTGTGTCATAAGTGTATGATATACATTGGCAGCATGTAAAATCTATGATGCCCTAGAGTTGACCTTCGGGGGGCACTTTAAGTAAATGTGGTTACAACTGAAAGGAACTCTGCAGTAAAAGCAATAAAACTCAAATAAAGAAAAATGAGTCGGCTAGTAGAAGCAAATCATGTGCCAGTAAAGTTTGTAGTATGTTTAGTAGTTTGTAAGTATGTTTCTAGTCATGTAAAAATAACAAAAATCCAAAATTATTTATGTAAAAAACAAAACCAGGTTTTGCAGTAGCCTGAGAGTTAGCTTAGCAAACCTGAAATAATAATAACAACATAGATTTGTATAGGGTCTTTCAAGAAAGCCAAGGATGATTTTCAGTAGAGTAGATAGAGGTTAAAAAATGCAGCATTATAGAAACTTGTTTTGCTCTCATGGTCTTTCACCATGCTAACTACATATTATTATATTGTGATTATTATATTATTATCTTAAGCTAATAAAGTATACTTCCAGCCATACTTTCTATGCACATTTACCTACATGATGCTGGTATACAGATGAAGAAATTGTACAAAGTTGTAATAGCACTACCCTTTGCATCCCTGATACCCTGGCATACAATGTTTGGCTTTAGATTTACATGTTTACACATGTTTGTGAAACCAGAAAAAATCCCACAGACCTGCAAAGTAATTATAGTGTTAGAAACTCAAATATAAATATTGCATTTTATTATCTTGTAGTATTGACAACCAATGCTGACTCACTAGTACATAATATGCTGGCCCTGTGATATGCAGTGTCTTCGCAGGACACTTCAGTGGCAGATTATTGTGTTATTGTTATTGTGTTTACTGTGGTTGAGGCCTTAATAGTTCTGTAATTTCCCCTGTAAAGCATGCAGAAAACATCACCATCAAGTTTTAATTCAGTTATTTCTTCCTCATCTCAGTGTACATACAAAGTTCCCTCTGTTCACATGTGTTGAACAACAGCAGACTCCTGTCTCAGCTGTTTCAAGAGTGTAAATTTAATCAGTTTAAATAGACAGCAGAGGGCACTGATAAGTGTTTATTGTGCTCTGGTTTGCTCTGTAGACACAGCAGACTCCAGCCAAGACCGGTTCTTGTTTTGTATTTTTTCCAGTGAGCTGCAGGACCTAGAATGAAAATTTTGTATTGTGTGAACCGAAAGCATAACAAATGATTTAACAGCTCATTTCCAATATTGAAACATGCTTCCTACTCCCCCTTCTTCTTCTTCTTCTTCTTCTTATTGTTGTTGTCAGTTTGACCTTTATCATCCTTGTAATGCGATACAAAATGTTGCACATGCGCTCACTAGTATTCGTGGCCACAGAAACCTTAATAAAAACCCTGGTCTCATGTGTCCCTGTCTAACCTTGTACGTGGACAGAGTGTTAGGACACCAGTCTTTTGGTGTGCGGTTTCAGTGTTCAGTCTGTAGAAGCTCATGGCACTTGTGCTGAACTTGGAAGGGGAAAAAAAGAAAAAAAATGAGTTTCACTGCGGCTGAACATCGTGTTCCTGAAACAAAACAATATTCGAGACAAGGTCGTGCGCGCTCCGTCGCGCGGAAACACGCACGTCTCTTTTTTGTGGCAGTGAGGGTTTATTTTTTAGATTAATTATTATTATTCGGTGCAGTTCAACACGGTGAATGTGCTCATTAGAGAGGACCTGGAAGCTGGTGCGCGTAGAGTTAAAGCGTATCTAGGGAAATATGTGATAGACGTTATAGATTATACCTCGCGTGCACTATTAAATCAATATAAAATAAAAACACTGTCGTGCGCGTGCCCGCTTCAACCAGCTCGCATTGGCTTGCACGTGCAGAGAATCTTTAAGCCACGCCCATCGACAGAGTGTGCTTTCACGTGAGTCGGGTGCGGGCGGGGCGCACGTGTTTGGCCACGAGTATCACGCTCAGAAAAAAAGCGACTGCACGAGCTCACAACGTGTTTATGTGGGTGTGGGTATTTGCGCTATGCGTGCGCGCGTGACACGCAGTTCTTGCCGTGAAAGTGTGAGTACCTCGTGCCTCTAACGCCTTCTAATAAAGATGTTAATATGATGACTGCCCGAGGCCGAGTGTTGCATTCACGTTGCGCTTATAGGGTCTGTTTTTTTTTTTTCCTTCTATGTAAAGCCATGATTTCCTTGTGTGTTTGTGGCCAATGACCAAACGTAGAGCTACCACAGATTAAAGTCAAAATGAAGCTGCAGTAATATATTCATATATGAAGTACTGACAGCCAATCAGCTGCGACTATTGCGTGAAAGAGGCGTGGCACGGAACTTCTGAATATCCAACGAACGCGCTCCGTGGGTAAGGAGAAGAAGAGGCTCGGTGTGGTGTTGTTTTTGACTCTAGAAAGCTGCATTTTCGGCTTAAAAGGCTCAAAATCAGCGATAGCGTCGAGTCCAGCGGCTAAACGCGGTTCTTGTGTTCCTGTTTTTCGGACGCAGCTCTCGGTAAAAAAAAAAAAAAAAAAGCAGCGTCGCCTCGGTGTACTCGGAGCTCGGCACGGAACAATGCCTGGCGAAGCCGCGATGGCAACGGAGCTCGAGCCCAGCAGTAATACCGCTACAGCGTCACCCCAGAAGTGTTTTCCTTTTGTTTTAAAGAAAATTATGGACATACCTCCTCCGAACATCCTGGAGGAAGGAGAAGACGGTAAGCATTATTAATTATTATTATAAATAATAATAATAAATTAAAATTAAAATGCTGCCCAGTTTTTCAGCTTGTAAATGAACCACGAGTATATAGGTTTTAAAGCTGGGTAGTAATCAGCGTCTGGGGTTTCGCCTAAAACGTGTGGTCGTGGTTTTGGCTCACATGCCCTGTGTTGCGTGGAGCAAACGATGAAGAACAAAAAGTTCCTACTCTTCTGCGCTGAAAATCAAGGAGCTAAACCAGGCTGGAAACAGTCAGGACAGAGCGGACTCCCTGGGGTTTCATTAAACAGCCCGAGCTACTTTTCTTTGGTTGCTGGCTGATGGTGATGGTGTTTTCTGACTATCTTCTTTCATTTTAACATCTACTCCCTCTCTCTGCCTCAGTCTGTCAGACCGCTTGTAGGGCTTCTTGGATGTAGCCCGCCTTTGTTTATCCACTTGTTTGTCAGGTGTCACATCACCACCACCCCTTTCCACCCAGCCTCTTCTCATTCATAATTTCACTTTCCTACCGTGTCTCCTGAATAATGTTGTACCATGCTGCAAATTTTGGTATCCATTCAACACCCAAGTAAATACTGGGCCAGTATCGCCAATAGCGATACTTACAAAGGCAACTTGTGTAGCAGAGAGTAGTGTGTCATTACTTATGAGGTCATCACCAATTTGCAACACATTGTAATGACTGGGATTTTTTTGTAATTAATACATGCCTTTCAACTTTTCATGTTTGTTAAAACTGTTTTTTAGACCTTGAATTTTACATATATATTTTGCTTAATTTCTTTTGTTTCAAAAAAATAATAAACTCAGTGGGTTATATGCTGAATTTAGGATTGATACTTTGTTTCGATCCTCTGTCTTGTTGATACTGTTGTCCTTCAGATTGATACACCCACCTCTACTACTGAATAATATTTGGACAAGGGAACTGTTCATTTTCAGCAAGCAGCCATTAATTTCACTTTTTCCTTTTATGCTTTATGTCTTTAATGTAGAAATAGAGAAGGAGAAGTTGTGCTCATCTGAAGATGTGGATGGAGGAGGGGCTGTGGCAACCAATGCTGGTGGTGGGGGCAGTGGAGGGGTATCAGCCTCCCTGACCCCAGCCATTTGGGAGAAGACCATTCCGTATGATGGGGAGACATTCCACTTGGAGTACATGGACTTGGATGAGTTCCTCCTGGAGAACGGTATCCCTGTGACCCTGGAGGAGGAGGAGCTGCAGAAGACACTGACAGTTGAAGACAAAGGCAAAGCCATTCCCAAGGCTATTGCAGGAGCTACCACCACCACTCCTACTACTACTACTACTACTGAAACAACTACTCCCGCTACTCCTGTTGCTGCAGACTCATCATCTCCCCCCTCTGCCTCCATGGCTACCCCAGATCCAGAGGAGCCTGTGACAGTCACCACGTTACAACCGGCTAAGCTAGAAGAAGAACAAGAAGAAGAAGGAGAAGAAGAGGAAGAGCAAAAAGAGGAATCTTTGCCTGAGGAGGCAACGCCAAAAGCAGAAGTAAAGAAAGCAGGTGAGCAGATTTACTGCATGTGTTAAACATTAACACCTGATGAAAACTGTTATTTCCTCTCAGTTATGCAGCTCTAGTTTTATTTAGTTTGGTCTAAGAATGTCAATGCTGGCATGGCTACCTGAGTCATAACGATTAATAAATGTTACCAAATCTGGCCAAACAAGCTCTGTGACAGACTGGTGACCAGTCCCAGGTGTAGCCTGCCTCTCACCTCATGACAACTGGGATAGGCTGGATTAAATAAGGAATATCGTCAACTTTATAAAATACGGTATGCCAGAGCATTTGGCAGTAGGACATACCTTATACAGATTTTGGTGCTTGCCCAGCTATTTCTGTGCATTATTACTCTGCTAAAGTGATGTGGTGAAAAGCAGATTTTTGCATATAATTTTCATCTAGGTCTTTAATGCTAATATAGTCAAATAATTTCACTGCAGGCAGTTTAGTCACATGTTAACAAACTGACACAGAAGCAGTGATGGAAATATTTTTTAAATGTATTTTTGGGAGGTGTCCAACTTAGACACCTTTCATTTGAGCTGTACAGAAACTTTTAAAGCCTTTTTTTCCAGTGTGGCATGTAGTGAACTTATTTGTTTTACTACGTTTTATAATTGTTTTATTAATGTAGGTATGGTTATTATTCCCACAAAGACTTGTGCTTCTTTTATATAACCCTCAGTTTGTTTGTTTGTTTTTTTAAATGAGTGTTTGCAATGATAAAATGTCTTTGTGGGATCAGCGGCTGAGAGCAATGAAGCCTACATAGCTCCCTAACAGGTTTCACAGTAGTGGTGTGAAGTCTGGCCACCTGGTTCATTGCCGTTTACCTGTCTTGTGTCCAAGCTTACTTTTTCCCCTGCTGGACTCTGCAGAACGTAACACGCCCTCCCCAATCGACCCAGACGCCATTGAGGTGGACATTAATTTCCAGCCAGATCCCACAGACCTGGTCCTGTCCAGCGTGCCCGGGGGTGAGCTGTTCAACCCACGCAAGCACAGGTTCTCCCAGGAGGAGCTGAAGCCGCAGCCGATGATCAAGAAGGCCAAGAAGGTTTTTGTTCCCGATGAGCATAAGGTCAGTGGAATCAAATTTTCTTCTTCCCAAACTGCAGTTGAGATCAGTTCACTCCAGTCTGAAAAAACACTGTTGTAAAAACTAGTTAATATATGTCATACAGTTTAAGTCTGACATATATTTAGAAAATTTCCACTCTTTTCATCTTGTTCAGTTGTCAGAAAAATGCATTTATCAAAATTGGGTTTGCAGAATGTTTAAGCTCCAACTCCATCAGTTAGTTTGTATTTCTATGTGATTACGTCAGCCCAATAAAACATTAGAATTGAGCTGATGATCTCCTCAATCCAATCCCTTCTTTTATGTGGGCAGGTTTAACTCTTCTTTCTGTCCCTTTTCATTCCTCTAGGATGAGAAGTACTGGTCGAGAAGAAAGAAGAACAATCTGGCAGCAAAGCGTTCCCGCGATGCACGCCGCCTTAAGGAGAACCAGATCACCGTGCGTGCATCCTTCCTGGAGCGTGAAAATGCTGCTCTGAGGCAGCAAGTGGCTGAGATGCGGAAGGACTGCGGTCGCTGTAAGAACGTCCTGGCTCGATACGAAGCCAAGTACGGCCCACTGTAAAAAATAAATAAATAACAGAAAAAAGGAAAAAAAGAAAACTCACAATAAAACCCATGACGAGACAAAAGCGGAACTCCCTTCCCCGCAAATTTCAACACAGATATAAACACCTAGGGAATCTAAATTTGCACTGTTGTCTTTGCTGACCTCCAGTCACTGTGTTCGGCTCCAGTTTCTAACACAACGCTGGAGTTTTGGATGCACACTGGCAGGCAGTGAGGCATGATGGGAGCGGTGGTCACAGGAAGGCCTGTGGAGAGCGCCTGGCTCCTACACTCGGAGAGGAAGTGGACCGTTCTGGATTCTCCCATGGTCAAACACACATGGAAAATATGGTCGTCTCGAGAAAAGTTCAAAGAGAGTCAAGCGACATGAAAAGAGCGGGTCGCTTAGAAAGAATCGCACGCGTTCAAATTCGATACAGCAGTTTCTGTCAGAGCACAGCACACCTTAATGGACCAAAGCACGAGTAGCGTCAGTCAGAAGTTGCGTATTTAGAAAGGTGCACATGTGCACTCCTCCTGTTTTCCTTGTGTTGCACTTAATTAGGAGGCTCAGAAGAAGAAGAATATTTAGTGAAGTTGCGCAGTGTAGGAGAGGAACAGATGAAAAATGAGCCGGAGTCAGGTTCAAGGTGGTACTCCCAGTCTGGAGAGGGTAAGAGGAGGGAGACCTCAGGAAAGGTGTGGTCCAGTCAGAGTTCTTCCGTCACACAAGCACGCCTCTGCACACTGTTTAAAAACAACTGTTATGTATATATAATCATCTCTCTGCACCATTTTTATAGTGTATAATCCATTTTGCACTTTTTCATTAAACAATAACAAAATGTGGCTCCTTGAAAGCAAAATATAAAGAAATGAGGGGTGGGTTTAAGGGTTTTTCACAGTGCTGTTGGGATGTTTATTTACTGCACACTGCAGTTAGTGTGCTAGAGTCACTGCCTGCCTAATGGTGTCGAGAGGACTGGATTGATCGGTTGCTTTTTGTTTTTTTTATCTTAAGCAGGCTCAAAGTCGGCTGTTTCTGAACCTTGTAAATATGTCTCCTGGTCTTTATTTTGCTAAGACGGGGACTCTGTGTCTTTATTAACCCTACAATATTCCTTATATTTGCCAAATAGTTGAATGAGTGCTGTATTTATTCTTGGGTAATGATGCATTTGTTGATTGTGATGTACAAACAATGTGTCAGATAATTTTATTTCTCCTTAGGATAATAATAATAATACCTACATAATGAAACCAATGACAAAGCAGGGAATTCAAAGGGTAAACTGTGCTTTTGGATGTTTGTTTTAAAAACAGGTTTATATAGTAATGTGGGCTTTATTTTTTGTGGGGTGGGGGTATTGTGTTGTGAACACACAAAGGACAGGGTGCACTTTCCTTTACCTCGTCCAACACTTGCTACTGTGAAAGGTAAAACATGGAGCATGGCTACAAAGTGTTGGTTGAAGCAAAGAACACGTACAAAGCAGCTTAGTTCCATTTGGCAAAACCTTAAATCCGACTTTATAAACTGAGTTCTTTCCGCCAAAGCTTCTGAGTGTGAATCTTAATTAGTAAATATGTTGCAGACTGTTATGGGACTCTGTATCTCAAACTTATAATTTTCTTTTTGATTTTTATCAGCCAGCTTGTGCTCATAATCCTGGAAAGAAAATAAATGTGGCAATAATACTCTGTTATGTAATGCTAGTTTGATTTCAGTAGTGATGTTGTATGTATACTTACTATGATGTACTAAATAGAAATGCCCCAAAATCATTCGTGCTTCCAGTTCTTAATTCTCTGTAGTCCGAGATCTTAATGCATGAAACCCAGTGAACCTGTCTGTCTCTCTCTCTGTTCCTTGTTTGTTTTTTTTTAAAAAAAACAAGTTTTATACCAAGTGTACTTATGTCTGTGAACCATTACCGAAAACTAGAGCTCTTTGGTTTTTGGGGGGATGACGTGGGCTGATGGTGTATTGTGCAGAACAGTGGAAAAAAAAAAAAAAAAAAAGCAGAGCATCTTTGCTGCGATGTCCTTTTGTTTATGACAGCACCGCCTTTCCTTGTGCAGCCAGCGCTTGACCTTGTGGTGAAAACAGCTGAAAGCAGCATCTTTTAATCACTGTGGATTATCTTTTTCTTTTTTTTTTAAATTTGCTATAGATTGATCTATATCTAGATACACAGGAATCAGCTGGTGCTTTTTTGGGGTTTTTTTTTTGTTTTTTTTCTTGTCTTCTTGATTGCTAATATGATCATTTGAGTTTCCTGATAGTGTATTGTAACAGCTGGTTCTTGGGTTTTTTTTTCTGTCACATCGACTGCACTGAGCTTTAGACATCAGTCCTAGCTGATGAATGCAAACTTGGACATTTAAAAAGAAAAAACTGGTACTGGCCACAAGAGGTTTTTAGAAGCCAATAAAATAAAGATCATATTTTGTATAGTGATGCATAAAGTATGTAGCAGTTTCTGTTTGATGGGAAGCTCCTTATGAAATCATTTTTCCTTTTAAAGAGGTTGGAGTTTTTCCCCAATTCTCTGCATGCAATCCTGCAGTTATGACTTTTGGATGTAGGCGCGTCTTCTGCCACCTACTGACAAAAGATGGCTCCTGCACTTGTGAAACCCTTTGTGCCACTTTTGGGTAACATTTAAGGAAAACTAGAATCCTGGAAATGCACAAATAATTGACAGAGAACATCTGGCACAAGTGTGTGTGCGCACAGGTGTTTGTAGGTGTGCTCAGAGCAGCACGACTAGATCTCCAATCTAAACCTCAGTTTTAAGGTTATTGCTTGAAACTCTTGACACTGGTTTGAGATGCTTCGCATTGACAACACCGTGTCCTTGTTTACTTATTTGAAGTAGCTCCCGGAAAACCATTTTAAATCTCTTTCTGGAAACATTTTTAAAGACTTGTGGTGTTTTTGGCTTTCTGTTCTGATTTTTATATAAATGTGGGTTTTTTTCTCGTTTTTGTATTGTCCCTATCATGTATTGGATACATGCAACTGCAGCATCGTGTCCTAATTGTATCTTGTATTATGCATATGAAATAAATTTGGAGTTTTACCGACACGTGGCCTTGTCTTTTTGACCTTGCCTGATTTGCTGACCAGCTGCGGCGGCTGTGTGACAAATGTCGGGTAACACAAGGAGCTGGTGGATAAATGAAGGCATTGTCCTCATCCTTGATGCACTTGCACGCGCGCACACACACACAATCCCCCTGAGTGCACATCTCCCCCCCCCCCCCTTTTTATTGTCCCTCCATTACCTCTCTCCTGCTGCTCATCAGTATTCCAGCAGAGTAGGAGATGTTGCGTAATGATCACATCGACAGACAGGGGAGCAGAATTGCGTAACACATAAGCAGCCTCTAAAGACCAGAGGGATGGGTGTGTGTGTGTGGAAGATGGAGCAAAGACGGCGAGGAAGCAGGAGGTGGGGACAAGCAGTGGAAAGGATCAGGTAGTGGTAAAGATGGAGAGTGGGGGAGGGAAGATAGCTAGATGATGAAAAGAGAATGAGGGATGCGGTGCTGAGGATGCAGAGCTATGCATGTTGTCACGCCGCGACATGAGCAAGCCAACCTTCCAGCTGGCTGTACACAGACACCAGCACGGGGCAGGACAGGCAGACGGAGTGCTAGGTGATGAAATGCAAAGTAATATCTGCTGGGATGGGTCCAGCTGAGGTGGGCTGGTGAGCAAGCTGGCTGCTCACCATTTGAGAATTCCATCCTTGCTTTGAATTATTGATCAAACATCACTCGAATCTGTTTACCGCAATCAGAGCAATGAGCTGCTCCAGGACTCTCACGCACGAACCAGGGGTCTGAACCCGCACAGAGACCACAAAGGAGGAGGACTCACCCCCGCACTGTCACGCACAAATGAGGACCACACAATCAGCTTAATTTTTCCATGCTTATAATTTTTTGCCAATCTGTTTTTATTACAAACTTAAAAAAGAATCTCATACAATAAGAAACTGCAGTAGTAACTCCCCATTCCCGAGGGGGCAGCACAGAAAACAGGTCATTGCATCTCAGTAGTGAAATATTCATTATACATCTACAGGGTGTACAGATCAGATACAAAATAGGAAGAAGAATAATAAAATACAGGCAGGAAAGAAAACACTATTTATACATCATCTGAACATTTTATTAGATCCATTTTACTCTTAAAGGTTAATGTTTATTCACTTTTTTCTTTTTTTTACATAGAAAATAAATTTATTTTATGACAATGAAATATCCCAAAGTGCAAAGTAAAACGCAAACATCAATATAAGCAAAACGACATCAGAATACAAAATTCTTGTCTCCATCGTCATTCCTGCTCAACCCTGATTTTAGAACAGCCCGCATTCAGGTTTATGGTGCTTCCCCCCTTTATTTACTTCTTTCAAATATCTAAGAGCTGACTCTCCAGCTTGTGTTATTAGGAAATTTAATACCACCATCGCCTCTATGCTTATTTTTTGTTTCAATTTTGGTTTTAATCAGGATGTGAGGGGTACAGAGAAATGTTTCTGGTCATGCATGACTCAAAGAATCCCTCCAAATGTTTTCACCATTAAATAAACCTAACACAATCTAAACCAGGGTTGACAACAGTTCAGAGCAACATTCATTTCCCTCGTCTTTTCCCAAACCGGTTGCCTTCTTATTGAAGAGAGATATTGGAGAGAGGTAGAAACCCCTTGAATCCTTCAGGGTTGTTTAAAAACTTATGGCATTTCATTGAATTGGAGAAGGGTGTGTAAGTAAAGACAGTCTGGGATTATGGCTATAGTATCAGTACCATAAGGATCCGGCTGATGGAGCAAGGGTGGCTCAGTCAAGACAAAAAAGAAACGATAAAGATAAAAAGAACAAAATGTTCCTTCTAATATTAGCAGATCTGGGAATTGAAATGCAGATAAATTAAGAGTGTTGGGGAGTTTATAATATACAGAGTGTGTGCTACGTGAAAATAGGACTAATTAAATTTTTTAAATAAAAAAAGAAAAGAAGAAAGAAAATACATTGTTTTGGTTTAAATGTAATGCCTATGAGGAGGAGTGCTGTCAGACTGCCCTCTGAGCACAGAAAGTGGTGATCAGCCATCTTTTCCTACACAAACCCACTGTAAACATTTCTAACTCCAACTGCAAACTGAAGAATGATTACATTTACCCGTCTTATTAGACATATGGTGTACAAGGTACAATAAACATTCAATACTTTATTCTGTACATCTTTATTTACGTCTCAATTTGCATATATTCATGTTATTTTTCTGAAAAAATAACTTCAGCATGTAAGAAACTAAACAAAGAATCTCAACATAAGAACTTTTTATACACATATTCCTGGACTCTGCATGTCTTATACAAATGTTTTAGTGATCATTTTCAAAAACTAATATAAAAAAAAAAATAAATGGTGGAAATAGATTCAAGATCAAAAAGAAGAAAGAAAAAAAAGCCTTTTCCCTCACAACTGTAACATTTACAGAGGTGTACACTTCACCCACTCATTCCCTCTGAAACAAAAACAACTAAAGCTTGCTGCATATGACAGTAATGCCACATTGCAAAACCAACATGAGGACAAGACAAGGGTCCTTCTAGTACAAAAATATCTATAGTCTGAAAAACATTAACAAAATAACAAAAAACTAAACTAAACAACCAGCCAACCAAGAGTGAGACTGACTGCATCTCTTTCCCGTTTGTGATGCAAATGTAGCTCATTGGAGTTTCCAAAGCATTTCATGACATCTGAATAAAATGTGCAACAGCCAAACGGAGGGCAAAGGAACGGTTCGGCATCGGGAGCCTGGTAATAAAGTGCTGGACCGCTGGACGTGGACATGTGGAGGTTACCCTTCTCTTTCAGGGACGAACCAACAATGACATCAGGCCCCGCTGTTAAACTGCACCAATACAAACATCAGATCTCTGACAAGCTATCCAGTGACGCGACAGATGCCACAGAAGAACACTCCTCATTGCATCTCTGTTTGCATCACTGCAGCTGGGAAATAAATTTAAAAAAAAAAAAAAAAAAGAAAGAAAAAGAAAATAAAGAGAGCAACCTGAACTGTACAATTCTGGTTTTTCCTTTGCAACAGCCGGAGGAGCAGAGATCGCTGGAGAATTTTAAGAGGACTGAGAGAATAGTGAGCCTTTGGCTTCAATACCATTTAAGCCCATCAGAAACGTGCTCTGGGTGTTAAAGTGTTGCTTTCTAAGCCAGTACACCCTGAATGGCACAGGGGGCAACAGAACCCTCTAGCTGCTTCTCTCTCTTACCGTCTCCCTCCCTCCCTCCTGTCCATGCAGAGGAAAGCCTCTCCTTCATAGTCAAAGTCATGCTAAGCCATTTATCACAATCCCTAATGCTGAGCTACTGCTGCATTCCCACCCCCCACCCCCACCTCTCATCCTTCCTGCCTGTTCACCTTAATATGCTGCTGACTGGTGTATGTTTGAATATGTGTGAAACCATAATTTGCATCTTTATGTGCACAACTGGCCTAATCAGCAGATGGTTATCGCCTTAAAATTCAAAAGATTCATTTGTTTTCACATTCATAAAAAAAGGTACCCCCCCCCCAAATCCATTTTGCTGACCTTCACAGCTGCAATTTCCCTTGACAGGTACAATACATTCAACTACATTACTCTTAGCGCCTCGATTCTCCCCTTAGCTGCCCTTGCTTCATTGAAACCCCGGTCACGTGCCCATTCCAGCTGATGATAACCTGCTTTCAACATGCGTCCACCAACAAGACTTGAAATATGCCCGTGCGTCAGGTTGTTTCAAAGGTAACAGGGCTTCACTGTGCAAGCAACGAGTCTCTCAATCACTCTGAACCACGACCAAACAGAAGCGAACTACATGCACAGAGAGCAGAGCCCCTCCACCAACCCCACCCCGTATTTGTGGCAAGTAGGGCAGAGCAGATTGCAGAGCAAAGTGCTGAGTTTTCCACAGCCGTCGTTCCCTGCAGGACTTGGCAAAGTCCTTTTTCACAGCATGACAGTGCAGTGCAAAATGGAGCTATACTAGAGTCCACTAGACTACAAGTCCCAAAAAACAAGAAGAAAAAAGGAAAAAAACTCACATTAGCATTCATTGCAAAATCATAAACATGAAATTGGAGACGGCAAAAAGGTGGACAGAAAAAAAAAAAAGAAGCACCCATTCCAAGCCAACACAAATAACAAATAACGAGTAACAGCAATGGACACAGGAAGTAGGAGCAGGGTGGGGTTTGGGGCGGGTTATAGAGATACCAAACAAATCACACTAAATATTTAGTGGACATTGTAAATCTTTGTAGTAAAACTAATTCTTAACACACATTAGTATTAGAACAATTTGTTAGAAAAACTGAAAATATCAGGAGGGTCTTTGCCGTACACCCAACTGCTCCTGCAACAATTCTTATTACAAATGAAGGCTTAGTTGGCCAGCACGACAGGCTGGAAAGACTGGCTGGGATATTGCAGGTTGTAGCTTCCTAAACCCTCAACAAATGGTGGCTTCTCCATGTAAGAGATCCCTCCACTGCTGCCAATGATGCCCACGCTCTGGGCAGGAGGGCTGGAGAACGGATCAAATGGTGGGTGGGTGTTGATAGTGTGCGAGGGCTGGAAAGGGCTGGTAAGAGGCTGCATGGGCTGGGTGTCTGCATCAAAGTAAAGAGGGCCTGGAGATCCTGGGTAGACAAACTCTTTGGCGTTGGGGGAGAGCTGGCTGTGGATGGGACCCCCGAGGGAGTGCAAGGAGAGAGAGAGGGGCTTGTGCTTAAGCAGCTCTGGTGCTGAGATGGTGGTAGGAGAGCGGGAGAGTATCCTCTGAGATGGTGGTGCGATGACACCAGAGCCTGCAGACCCTGACCCGGCCCCACTGCACTTCTTCATTTTGGTGGAGCCGAATTTGGTGGCGGCGAAGCTGGCAGTGGTGAACGTGATTGGCTGTGGACGGGCAGCAGGAAGAGCAGCAGGTGGCTGCTGAGTGGAGAGGTAGGGCAGACCACCGCTCGGAGGAGAAGGAGTAGATGTGTTGGAGGAATG